CTGTCTCAGACGGGGCGGCACTCGCGCAGTGCCTGCTCCTGCCGACTGAGATGCGGAGTGCGCCTCACGGCTCTGCTAGAGAAAAGTTAGCTGGTGCTAGCAATTCATTGCTAAAGTTTCGTGGATTTTCTACTGCCGTCCACCCAAAGAATGAAAATTTTCCAGTAGGGCAAGTCAGAAGTAATAGCCAAGCTTTCTCAGAAGCTGGCTCCTTCCCCTAGCACAGCCACTGCCGTTTTCCCTGGGAGCATGTATCGGAGACAGCGGGGAAAGGAAAGCGAGACCAGGAAAAATCTATTCAATAATCAGACAGTTCTTACACTGCCAGGTGTTTCAAGGGGGCCATCAAGGAGAAAGGGAAAAAGAAATTGTTGAGTTTACAGTTTTCACACGTTTCATCTTTAATCTTCTTCCCAGCAAAGCTATGGCTATATAAAGATAAAAATCCCAATCTTTTTAGTAATAGTAATATTATCATCACATTGGCAGGGTATTTCTTACGAATCGAAAAACCCAGAGATTATTTAGATCACCTGGAAAAGTGGATCTAACACTGCATCTTGTGACGTATCAAGTCTCTAAGAGCATTTGCTCGAAGACCGAATTACTACTATATCCTACAACAGGATAATCCTATCCAGATTCTCCCGGTGTTCGACACCTTACGAGAGCGCTGCACGTGAAACGTGGCTTAGTCTTTGTCCCTTCGAGGTGGTTTTCAGGACTTTTCCCCGCCACGAAGCTGCCGGAGGACCCCGTAGGGCATTCACCAGCAACGGTAGCCCGCCGTTCGCCTTAAAGCAGGGGAGAGTCGGGAGCGGACTGGAGCCTGGAGAGGCTCGTTTATGGATCGTTTTCCTTTGGAAAAAAAAAAAAAATCAAAACACTTCTCAGCCTCTCCTCCCCCCCGCCCCCAAGTCTCCAGCTGTCTGTCAGCGCGTTGGGAAATCTCTGCCTTCAACGCACGTGCTCCGCTCCCGTTAACGCTAACGAGAGGCGCGTCCACGAAGGACGGGCAGCCTCTTTGTCCGCCGAGCACCGGCTTTCGCGCCAAGTAGCTTGGCTCAAACTCGACCTGCAATTTTAACTGGGTTTTGAGGCTTAGGCTAGCGACTGGCTCCCCGCTGCCAAGCCCAGGGGACGCAGTATAATGGCACATCCTCCGGTATTATCAGTTTTTTCAGCATCAGCAGCCAACGTACCAATCTCCCAACAGTTTCAGTGGTTGTTCAGCATAAAAAGTGAGAGCAAGCCAATACAGAAAGTATTAAACATCATATACCACAGTTTATGTTATTGTCAAAGGCAAAAAAAGACATTTCCCCTATTGTTTGAGGCTCGTCCAGACACATTATGCTAAGTGGTAGAATATTTTAGTGATAATATTAATATTTATTACATGCATTGCGCAAACACTTGGGAGCCAGAGTCCTGGGCTGGATACTCAAACACATGAAAAACATAATCTCTGGCCCAAAATGCTTATAACTGCAGCTGCATGAGTTACTGTAAAAATAAGCAGACATATCAAAGCATGGAGGGAAAAAAAAAAAAAGAAAAAAAAAAAAGGAGATAAGCAATTCACTTAGCAATTGCAGCAGGGCAGGAAAACCACATCTGGAAGGACGGTGGTGGGGGTGTGACAGCCAACATTTGATGACTTCCTGCGTGCAAACGCCCCCGTCTGGGCTTTGGGACACCACCGGCGGGACCGCTTCGGCAGACGGACCGCGCCGCTCGGCCGCGGCTCCGACAGCCGTAGGCACCGAGTCCCTGGCCCCTGTCGAGGCTGCGCCGCCGGAGGGCCGGCCGTGCGGCGCGGCCGGCGGGAGAAGCACGTGCCGGCCGGGTACGACGGCCGCACCGCAAGAGACAGCAAAAAGTGCCGGGGGCTTGCAGGGAATCGCTCCCGGAGGGAGCGTTTGCACCAGCGCAACAAACCCTCCTGCGCGTTGCTGAGGGCGACTGGAGCGGAGGAGAAGTAAATATTGACAGAAGTTTCTGCTACTCACCCATAATTCCACAAGAGAAGAGGGTAGGTCCTTGACTCATCTTTGGAGTGTGCTGAAAACAACCAGAAAAACTATTCACTTCTCGCAGACTGGACCAGTTCATCAGCCATCACCCCGC